GAGAAGGGGCAAGACGCACAGGCAAGTCACGCAAGTATGCACTTGAGCGTTCGGTTTCGTTCGCAATCTCGTGGGCATGCATCCGGCTGGATGCACACCAAGTAGTGCACGAGTTTCGAAAGGGGAGTCCGGTGCTCGGAGATACGGAAGCTTACAAAGCCAACGAGACGTAGCAGGGTGCCTGGGACACACGAATCTCGCCAGGCTAGGGTTAACGAGGCTGTGGAGAACGGACAATAATGAATCTCGAAAAGCAAAGGAAATATTGCTCTCTTGAATTTCGACTAATGGTGGCAGTCGTGTCTCTCCCTCTCTTCAACTTCGTTCCTGTTTAAGTAGAGTTTAGTATTGTTGCGGCGCATTAAAGAAACAGTCCTTCGGACCGTGTGCAAGGTACGTACGAAGCAAAGAATGTTTAGTGTGTTCCGTGCCATAGAAACGAATTTAACCTGAAGCACCCTTCAGTCTGGAGAGTCCGCGGGCTTAATTAAGTCACGTGTGCTTGCGTGGGATGAGTGAGAATCAGAGAAAATTGAGCTACAAAGGGCACCCGAGAGCTTCCTCAATTTAAGGAAAAACCTTTGATGATTCGGTAAATCGACTATGCTCTGTAACGTTTCCTTCTGCTCCGCTAGTAACGGCTAACTTTCCAATTTTCCTTGGCTATTTTCGTTCTTCCTTCCAGTCGGACAGACGTCGGATTCTTGATTATGTTTCAAAAGCTATGGCAATATCGTATCGTCGATAACAACAAATTGCTTGAGCTGTTTTTGAAAATACAAGAAATTTTACTTTTACACGACTACGTTGCGCTGAATCGAGTTTCATACGAAATTTCATTAATTTTAATTAGTTTTGCATGAAAAGTATTCAGTTAGTTTGCTAAGCTGTCAGTCTACCTGCTTATGCTTTTACGCCACAGGTAACACGAAGGTACGGAATACATTAACAGCGGATTACGTTCCACCAAGATACCACGAAGAATTGAAAGTAGTGGAGAATATTGATTCCACCTCTCCGACGTACGCTCATTTTCACTTGCAATCTCGTGGCGCGGAATTTTCTGCAACTCGACGCGCGGAATAATCTCGCGAGTTATCGATCCGTGAAACTGATTCGCCGAAATAAAAAGAAAAGGGAGAAGAGAAAGCGGAGAAGAAAATCGCGAAGGCGGGTAAAAGACAAGGGCTCAGGAAATTCGTATTCCTATTGCCTATTTCTACGATATATCAACGCGCAGAAAGGGGAAGCGGTAATCGCGAGGTAAGACAAGGGGGAAAACGTTCCGGGGGAGCATTTAGAAGTAGTACAAGTCGAAGGGTGAGAAGCTCTTCGAGAACGAGAGAGCGATCTCTCCGAGGGTAGAGCACGGGAATGGCGAGTTTTACACACAGAGAAACGCGAAAACGTTCCACTCTTTCCACCTTCCTTCTCCGTCTCTTCTTTTTTCCTTTCCTTTCCTCTTCTTCTATTTCCATCTCGGTTCCACCAGGTCGGCTCTCGGTCCCGAGCCCCTCGAATTACAGAAAGCCTTTATTATCGACGCATAGAACGCTCGCTCTGTCTGTGCATACAACGGAAATTGCCTGAGAACGCTCGAATATCATCTTCGCGACGGAGAGTTTAATTGGCTAAAGTCACTTCTGCCCCTCGACAACAGCTGACACCGCAAAGATATGAAAATCGACCGCTCGAAAATAAATGCTTTTTATATTTCATCTTCTCTTTGTTATTTGGTCTTCTTGCACGTTGATTTTTTAGGCTATTATCAAGATGTGGCGATACACGAAGCGCAGTCGCGATAACGATCGAAAACGGTCCGATGAATTATAGTTGCTTAACGAATTAATTCCGCTGGTAATAATTATTGATAGCAAAGAAACCGATGGAGAGGAGGAGGAGATTCTTAACTGCAGGAGATACAGGTGTACAGTTAAAAACAATCGAGGAACTTGTTGCGAACGCATATCGAGGGTCATATCTACGAGATACTATCGGCCGATCGAGCTCGATAAATCTTTCGCGACGCCAATGCACGCCGCTACAAAGCACCGATGCTAACGAGAAGTTGCAATTCGTTTAAAACACAACAAGTAATTGCCAACTTTACCGATGAGCATTTGTGCTTATACTTATATGGTAAATTCTTTTAATAGTAGTAAATAAAAACTCACATTCTAGTGCTTCCCGCCAGAATGCATCATGGCGCGAATCTACCTGCAATTAGTTACGACGACAATGGTCTTTTGTTCGGTTGCACGATGCGTGTTACTTTCTTTCCGTACTTCACACGATTTTTACGAAGATATTTGTGCTTATCTACTTTTTTAACAACTCTGGTCTGAGGTGTGAATAGTTACACGATCGCTCGATTTATGACAATAAAAAAGGACGCGGCAAAAATGAAAACGTGGAAGACGAGAATAAGAGGGCACTTCCGGTGGCGCAAGAAATATCAATAGTCTTGAAACGTGGATGTTTTTGTAAGAGCCTATACAAACGCGTCTGCCACGCCACGCATCGCTTGCGTCGAGATAATAAACTAATCGTTCTATTTATTTTATTTTTAAACTCACGATGGAATTATTGCTACTTGCAACATAAGATTATCTTTAGCATACAATAAGTATTAAACGATGAATACTGAAGCTTATTAATAGAATAGTTTTGTGACCTCTGCGAAATGGAACAAGAAACGAAAGTATTCATATAGCAGAGAAATATAGAAATATAAATCATTTTCTACATTATTTCACATATTCAAATATACCTATGTAACTGTATACTACATATAGTGCTATAGGAATAAATATGCTCGAGTTAAAATAAAGTTAATTACTTCTATAACTGCAGCAATCTGTATATTATACACTTACATACGTTTGAATATAAAATATTTAATGATACAGAAAATATTCCAATTGTTCGAATACTTATGTTTACTATATACACTTGTTTACTATATACACTATATAATACTTGTGTTTACTATATACACTTGCACTAAATATCTTACAATCTCTATATACCAAGCCTAATGAAATTTCAAAATGTTTCATGCAACACATATAATGTATTAATAAAAGGTATCTACAAGTGTCGAGTACTTTCGTCAATGATTGTACATAACCACGAACGTATACATAGTATCGTACAGTTGTAACGTATAGCATCGTGCAATTGTATCGCGAAGGAAACGAAACTTCTGGAACGAAGTTTCTAACCAGACCAGGGTTTGGCTTTTGTCGCGAACGCGAACGGATCCGTGCTTTGACGGAGAAACTCGCTCGCTTTGGCTGGAAAAGAATGCGAATCGCAGGGGTGGTAGTTGGGATCCGAGCGAGGAATTGACGGCTAATTTTCGCTAAAAAGCGTTGAATAGTGGTAGGTCGCAGCGGGAGCAGGGCTTCGAAGAATGGAGGAACACCGGAATGGGGAGAAACGGAAGGAACAGAGGGAAATAGGGAAACGGTTGAATATCGGGGAAACGGTTATGCGTTTAATGAAAAACCGTGTGGCTGCATCGCGTGCACGTTCCCCTGTACTCGCATTATCTTACAAGTTTATTCATCCGGCGGTAGCGAAGAAAACAGTACGCGTTCCCGGTTTAATTCGCAGTATCGCGGCCGCGCTGCATTCAGATTGGCTAATTAATCAAGCTAATAATTAAAAACGTGTGCGTGCCGCGCGCGCCCGAGTCACCCGCCAACTTTTCCATTCGTGTTTGCCAACGAATTGTTTCACGCGATCCCATAATTCCTACAGTGATCATTTTGTTCTGAAAACTATTATACTTGAATGCTATTCTCGTTGAACAACTTTATTTTCGAACTATACTGTATGTAGCTTTAAAAATGTCTCCAAAGTATCGGTATGTGATAAAGTTTAGGAATGTTTAGATTATTTCATGTTCCGCGGTCCTATGATTTAAAAGACAGAGTATTATAATTTATGCAAATTGTTTCGGCTCACCTGTCGATAAAACCATCTCCGTCGCCGTCGCATGCTTGGAACAGCTTCCTGACGCGTTCCTCGTCGCAGATGGAGCCTGCTTCACTTTCAGCATCCGCGGTTTGTGACATCTTCACTTTTCCTCTTGTTTATCCATTGTAACTAACTATTGGCGCACTATCCAGCTGCTTCGTGTCCATCTTTCTTCAACTGCTTTTCCCTGTCACGTTCAAAAGGTGATGTTCACCTCTATACCGCTGTTCAATTTTCCTTCTAGGAGCCCCGTTACATACTTCAGAACTCGATTCACGCATCGATCACGCACCGATGGTCCGAAGTTCTCGATAACGTTCTCAGGTTCCTGAACTTGCGTCAAATACGTAGGACCAACACGGTGGATCGTTAAGTCACGTGTTGCATCGCGATCTCTCGTTAATCGATCCTGAGATGTAAAGTCGAGCTGTCGACCGCCTCCGCGATTACGTTCAGGGAAAAGGTCTACGAACCTCGGTGGAAGCAACAGCTATTTTTAGACCGCTTAAAATACGTAGATTCCCTTGTTCCACAAGATTTTGTTGATACATAGTGCATAAACAGATCGACTAGATAAGTCATTCTCTCGCGAATGTATTTTCAGCGCACGAATTTTACGGAGATTTTACAACGCGAAATCGTGTGGGCGTTCGTCTTGTCACTGGATCGTCAAAAAGGGTGAGACAGTTGCGTTTTTTCCGGTGTGGCTGTGCACGCACGAGAACCTGTGTCCGCCGTTTCCAGTGTCACCGAGTCACTAACCCTAACCTCAAAACCGGACCCGAGACTCACCCACCCTCGCGAGCCGTACAGCGGCAATAAAAACTATCGATTGAGCGTTCCGCGGTCAAAAAACTTTGACATCTCGCGCCATCTTGAAATTTTCGAGCACGACGAAAACAAAGATGGCGGTCGCCGAACCGGGAGCCGGCAAGCGGAATGTTCTAGTTCCGTCGTCAGATGTCGTCACTAGAGGCGCCAAATTTATCGCTCCTAAATACGTAAGTCGTATGAAATATTGAAAATAAATTATCTTTATTATCAGTATCGTTGAACAAAAATACAACTAAAATGTTTTGTACATATAATGGTAACTTAAGTATATAAGTTGTGGATATTAATACGTATTCGTAGGATAATTTTGTTTAAGATTTTAGCTTTTCAGCCAGGGTAGGCACAAGTTTTTTGAGTTTGCCAGCGTCGTGACTGAATGCCCACATTATACATCGAGTATGTTCTTCGCTTGGAAAACCACAAAGTTCTTCGTCTGTCTCGAACCATTGAATATTCTTTTCTTTGATTCTGTCTACTAGACTTCGTAAATTCTTATTCCTTTCTATGTCCCAAGTAACACTCGAGTCTGGTACTTGAACGTTCCTCAGCTTCTTGTAATCTCCCTCCACTTCCTCATACGCTCTGTAGGATACACCGAAGAATGTTGCAATATATATTTTTACCATAAATAATATTCTATTCCCTAATAATAACGATATAGCATATATTAATAATAATTAGATTACGGATATTTACGCATATTCATATTTTGATGAATATAATGGAATTTGGAATTGTTTTATCTATTAAATATTGTAAAAAGTACTATACCTTCTATACTTCTTATACATTTCTTTATATTATACGCATTCTGTGTATTTTTGCACCTTTTCCCATAAACACGTACAAATCCGTAGTCTAACAATAATTATACATGTATATATATAGATAATAAAAAATGTACTTACTTAAGAAATCCATTGTCTTCGATTTTGTATCTGTCGGCCAACGGCTTGAAGGCTTGCACCAAGTCAATGGGTAAATAATTGAAGTTCTCCTTAGCTCGGCCATTCACGTTATAATCCGTGATCCAATTCTCGAACACTTCCACGGCTTCCTTCATGTTCTTGATCTTTTGCTCGTCCTTTGTGCACGATATCACCCGCTCAGCCCTTTTCACCAGGCCAGTGATCGCATGATACTGATAACTTACGTCCCTGCCCTCCAACGATTCTATACTCAGCAAAGCTTTCTCCTTATCTTTGAAACTGAGTCCGCTTTCCTCCTTTTCAGTCTTCTCTTCTTCAGATGAATGTTTCGCTACCTTTTTTTTCGGTTCGTTGTCCTCCTCCTCTTCGTTGCTGGACGAACTGCTGTATCTTCTTTTCACGCTTTTACCCTTGTCATCTTTATCAACCTCCATGTCTTCGTTATTCTCAGATGGAAATTTTTCTTCCACCTGGGTCATGAGTTTCTTCAACTTGGTCGGTTCTGGACTATAGCCCAGCAAGATGCACTGAACGTGTTCCTTGGTTGGGAGTCCCCGGAAGAGACCCACATCGGTCTCGTACCATTGCATGTGCTTCTGTTTGATCTTATCGATGATCTCCTTCAACCTTCGATTCCTTTCGATGTCCCAAGTGGTCTCTCCGCTTGGAATTTTAACAGCACGCAGACCTTTGTAATCGCCTTTCTCCTTCTTGTACGCGCTGAAAATTCAGAAACACGTGAAATACAGAAATAGATCAATACCGAATACCTAGATATTGAATGAATCAAAAAAATATTGAAGTAAACGCGAGTAAATGATCACGTGTAACATTGACATTAAATTAAGGAAACACACCAATGACCTCTTTCTTGGATCATACTTGGTCACAATAATTTACTTTACTGTACTTAATGTTAAAACATACACATATTTTATTTTTGCTTAATATTGTATGGTTTTTGATAAAATTGATCATTAATTATTTTCACCGCGTTAAATGTAAAACGCTAAACAATCTAAAAGATACTTTAAAAATAAGCGTTCTATTGCAACGGTGCCAGTAATAGACAAGAAGGTAGTAAACAACGTAATAAAACTGAAAACTGCTAATATTCGGTACCTTGAATTACACCTAGATTCTGGTGTAATTGAAATGGTGTAAAATCAATTGGAATCACGTTGAAACAAAGCTACACCGAATCAAATTATCTTTCGAGAACTAATTCGTATTGCGCTAAGTGAAAAAATAATCGGTCATTGAATTTGAAAAGACTCGCTGAAAGAACTATACTTGCGAAGAAAATGTTGATATTTACTTGTAGAATTCCTCCTCCAGAACATCGTACTCTTTGGCAAGATTCCTGAAGCCTTTTATAGTCTCGATTGGCAAATAAGCAAGGTTTTCTTTGCTGCGATTGTTCTCCTTGTAATCAGTCAACCAATCCTCGAACACTTTCAAAGCCTCGCGAAGATTGGCCAGCTTCTCCTCGTCTCTGGTGATCTGCAGCGTCCGTTTCGAGCGACTCACGAAACTAGAGATCACGTGGTACTGATAACTGATATCACGACCTTCCAAAGCCTTCAGCGTGTCCAAGGCCTTCTGCTTGTCCTTGAAGCCCATCGCAGACTCTTCCGGTTCCGTGGATTTGCTTCGGCCCATTGCTGAAAATCGACACGTTCATCGTCCTCTATATACGTACGTATAATCGAGCGAGATCGCGTGCAACGCGTGGCAGGCACGTGAGACGCGACGCAAATTCACGCGATCGATTGAACGGTATGGCCAATCATTAGGTATGGCAAACAGAGGCGGAGAAACACTCGACGAGAGTGTGACGCCAGCATGTCAGTTTTATCGTTGACGTAATTATTGGTTTATGGAAGGATCGATACAAGCCGGACTATGGTCGAAATTGTATATTTGTGCAAACTGCAATTTGAACGCCGCGCTTTTTTGTCGATCCAAATAGCAGCGTCGAAATAGCACCGCTTAAAAAATAGCTGGCATATCGTCCAGACTATTCGATAAAAAACAACGCGATGAGAAAACTTCGCGGTTTTCGTCGATCCAAATAACAGGGTGGAAACAGCGACGGTTAGAGAATAGATCACGTGTGGTCGATAGTATCAGATAAAAGATAACGAGATAAGAAAACTTCGACAGACACTTACCAAAACTATGCAGGCGATATCAATTTCCTTTGGTGTGCAATTAATCTGATCGGATCAATGACACTGTTCCTAACACGAAGATAGACCGTATCGCGTAGTAGTTGCAAGAAACCGAATGGACTTTTAGATTCTAACGTTGAAACTGCGCGACTGACAGTGGCAGACAGATTTACCGGGACCCGGCTTTGGTCGGCGATGTTCACCAACGATACAACTGCTCACGGATGAACAAGGATAGACGATTTGCGAGTCGGCGGAAAAGAGAGGGGCCGACATAAACATATCTACTATGTGTCACAGCCCGAAATACGCAGCCGACCTCAGTCCGTAGTCTTTGGTTTGCGTCACTAACTGCTAATACAACGGCGAAAAGAAGGATCGACATGGAAAGTCTCTGCGCACGATCACGTACGATTCGTCTGTGTGTAACTCATGCTCGCATAACCGTTTACACTCGTACTAATTCGCATATCGAGCATTCCACCGTATTTACTTTCAGTAAGACGACGGTGATTTCTTGCGCATCTTTCTCGATAATACAGGAAAATAAACTTGCTAATGACGCTGTTTAGGAACGTTGGATACACAGACTGCGTTTTTACGTTTCGATAGATTTATTTGGTATTTACAGAAGTTACAGTATCCTGGTGAACTACTCGGACACGCGCAATGTAACAACGATCACAAGCGATTGGATCTGCCGAGCTAAAGGGTTCTTAGTCGATCCGAACCATCATACATACGCCTTCGAATTTCGCTATTTACAAGATTCGTGGTACGCGCGATTCGAGTCTCGATTCTGACATACGTTTGTCAATGGTCGCGTAATGAGTCGATATTGAGCGTCTATTTTTAGGAAACTCAGTTCTATTTTTCTCCGATATTGCTATTAATTCTTGATTAATTTAAGACATCGTGACATATTGTTACCAAATTTTGTCTGACCATATAACACGTACATCGATAGATCGTTTTAGGCATTGGTTTTTATAAATTCAAATTACAGTGTCTTATACCGAAATATGCATATTTATACCGAAATATGTATATGTATACCTTGCGAAAGATGTATCGTACACACAGCTTCATTTTCACCTTTCCTTTAACAAGAAATTCGATAAGTTTTCGTTAGTCAACCGATGGAAAATTTGTGCTTCAAGAGGTTGAACTAAGATATAGTATGAGTTATTGCGTATATACGTGTATACGTATTAGCGTAACTATTGCTACTAATTGTTGTTTAAATTAAGACATTTAGCAACATTGTAAGTAATTCTTGTTTAAATTAAGACATCGTGCGTTATTGCTACCTATCCTTGTTTAAATTAACATCGTACAACATTATCATCCGCTTAAGTCAAGTTATTGTGCGATGTTGCAACTAATTTCTGTATAAATTAAGACACTGTACGACCATGGACGAACGCTGCTTGACATTCAAACCGTGCGTTCCATTAACACCTACACGTTATACTTAAGTCACCTATACAATCGTATAACGTGTAAGCACGTAGTACGGGGTAATCTATGACTAGAGATTTTCTCGAGAGTCAATTCTCGATGCGTATGACTTTCCGTCTTCCGATAAAGTTGAGACTGTTGAGAGAGATTCAGCAGACGCAGCTGCCTACGCCGAGGCAGGCGTACGAAGTTTGCTCGATCTTCGAGCTGGTGGTGGTAGCGTCTAGCAAGGTTGGTTGGGAAAGCGTTGGAGCAGCCGGTAATTGCGTTCTCTGCACGCCATCGTACAAAATCGATGACGCTTCTCGTTCTCTGCCGATACCTTCTGTTTCCTGTGCGTACGGAATTCTCGCGAGTTCTTGGCTCCTCGATTCTGTCGGAGCATCGTGGGACGACAAGCGACCGTAGTTTAGGAAGGTCTCTGTGTAGCTCGAGGGCGGATGGTGGTGACTTCCGTTGTACTCATGCGAGTAATGGGGATGGTATCTGTTCGATGGTGCCTTGAAACCCTCGTTGCCACCGAGGTACTGGTGCAGGTGATGCAAACTGGATGGCCCATACACTGTTGATCGCAAATCCAATTTTACAGATTGATCGTTGTTTGCAATTTTTATCACTACAATGTGTTTGTTTAAATTCCAATAGAGACTTTTTTTCTTTTTCATTAATTCTAAAAGGTTATCGCGTATAATAACATACATTGCTATTTCATGTAATGTCTTGTACAATTAGGAAACTGTGTATAGTATGATAGTACGTCACGTTTCATCCGTAGGTGAATGGACTAAGAATTGTTTAATTAACTGCTTAGTGTCTAGAGTTCTGTAATTGAACCAACGTAATATGTGTGTCAGTTCCAACGAATGTGATATGCCTTTTGGTATACTATCTTTTAAATGAACTGCGTTGCGCATCTACGTGTTGCTAGTTGCTTGCAAAAAGATGATCACATCATTGACAGATATAATTTAAAGCGTATATTAGATGGCGATCTGCTTGCAAACTGTTCGCGATAGTAGTGTAAACTCGATATTAATTACGATGTATATATATATGAGCTACCGACCTGCTGCGGTATTCGAGTACATGGCAAGAACTGCATCACCGTAGCCACTGGTGGGATGTTTTGCTAAATCAGAAACATCGTTCGTAGATGAGATCTTGCTGGATATCGATTGACTTCGAACGCCGTTTTGTACTTCGCTGGGGAGGCCAGCCGATCCTGCGGAGCCGTATGCCATGTTGAAAAGTGCTTCCGGATCGCACACGAACTTATACACGTATCTCTCTCCAGCCACCTTTTGCATTATCCCTTTCTCGTAATAGTACCTCAATGATCTGCTTAATTTATCGTAATTCATTGCCGGTCGATTCTTTTGAACTCCCCATCTTCGAGCTACCTGAAGAAAATGAAATATATCACTTTACCGTTTGATGCTTAAGCGAGACGTCCTTTGTGACTAGACTGTTGATATTTTTATCTCAAAAAATTGATAAAAAACCGAATGATGTAAAATTGTGCAGAATTCACACATAGAAAATACTAAAGGAAGAAGAAAGCGAATATCGAATACCGAGGAAAATACTCGAAAGAAAAATACACGTTACGTCTAATAGACAAATAAATCTAAATACACTTAGGTTTCATATTTTTTGGGCAATGATCGTAAAAATATAAATTGAGAAGCATAAAATTTGTAATAGCAATGCAATCTACCTCTTCCGGTTCGATTAGCTTGAATTCCATTCCACGACCAGTCCACGCAATGCAAGGTGCGTTCGCAGGATCGTCCAACAAGGTGACTAAAAATTGCCACAATTGAAGAGAACCTCTTCGTTGTTGTTGATAGCCAACAGACATTTCGCTCCAAGGTGACACTCCCGTCGCCGAAGATGGCCTCTTGCTACTATACTCTGTGTTCCACGAGCTAGGAGATCCTTTCTTTTGATAACAATTACTCTGTCTCTCCCACGATGGATTCCTGCCTTCTAATTGAACTCCCAGCTCGGTCCATGTGGGCGTCACGCTTCTCTTGCCGTACACTTCCGAGCTCCAATTCTCTTGTCGCGGAAAGAAAGCTTCGCCAGGAGCTGGAATCGTCGATTGCCATTGAGAAGCTGCGGAGGAAGTGCTGGCTGGCCGACTAGGCGATGGCGAACCTCTGGCGTTTCTTGTTCCGCTTCCGTATTGCTGCTGTTGCTGGTAGACCATGCTGTTGCCTGCGGGAATTTGCATCATCGAGTTGAAGAGATTTTCAGGTTTCCGTATTCCAAAATTTCTCGTTCTCGTTTTGGAATACAAAAAGCAAGGGTTTTCATGTTTTAGGAAAATGTTTAACGTTTAACTCGTTAAGTTGAAAGAGAAATATATTACTATAATTTATATCGATAGATGTTCATACGGAAATATATTAATTTATATGTTAACTGATGAGATTTTAAGGTATTCTAATGAAAATTTAAATTTTGATTTGTAGTTTATAATGATAGGATTCAACGTAATCGAAGATTAGTGAAATTCCGCATTATGTGTACGTTTCTGTATGTGAGGTATTCCAGGATGCCACAGTAGCAATCGAGAGTTCATACGGTATCGCAACGAGTAATCGTATGTACGAGTAACAATTTTTTCATATTTTCATCTTCGATATATCCTTTAACGTTCGAAAGATACAATTATTATATCGAGGATGAATGAACAGTTTCTAATTTCGTCGTTTCGTTCGTCTGAACGACAGTTCATCGAAACGCGCTGACAATATCCAGCGTAAACATAGTCTACGGTAGAAGAAGAACGGACAAGGACGAAATGGACAAGAGAAATTTCTCGGATGCACGAGAAAGAACGAAACGCAAGCAACGTATTAGCGATTGCACTCACGCGCGGTTGCCGGTGAAGTGCTCGTCACACAAATATCGGCAGGAAATTGGTTGATATTCAAAGCCCACGGGGTTGTCGGGATGGCGGAGCTCGCGGATAGCGGCACCGCCTGAAATACCGCGTAGAGCTCGCGCGATATGTATATTAATCGGGTGCTCTCCTCACAGGGAGCATCCACCACCGCCGGCATCCC